TACAGAGCACAGACGTAATCATCAACGGACAGAGCTTTATCCTTGTGTGCTTGAACTGGCACTGCATTAGCCTCGGCGACATTTTCGTCAAGAGCTTGAACTGACTCAGGTATCATCTCGACATTCCTATTTTTGGTCACTACCGTCGCATTAGATCCTGAATCAGACTCTCCGTTTGATGCTTGTGCAGATCTCTGCATCTTCTGTGTCTTGAAGAGAGGCTGAACATTCCATCCACAGGCTGTGTTGACCTTAAATCCCACCACCTCAAAACATTCCGAACACGTACACGTCATTTCTCGTGTCATCAGGTTACCTGGACAATTAGAGACACTTGAGACAGAGTGAAGCTTCAATGTCCCCTTGACTGGATTTACATCTTTCTGTTGGGATTGAACAAGCGTAGTTGCCAGGTCAAATTCATCTCTTTCTATGTAGAAATATGAGATCTTACTTGAAGTTGATTTTGACCACTGGTAGTAGGCACTCTGAATGTTAATGTTTTGTGTCTTGACAGCATTGTCTGCCATACGTTTGGCCGCACCTCCAATCCCATCACAAGCACCTTTACCATGGCCGGACTCAAAATACTGCCATGATCCTCTGCATCCAAAGAGAGTCTGATGACGAGCTATGACATCAAATGCACTTCTGTTTCTGTACTGTGACGTAGGCGAATCGGTCCAGTAATGCACATGAGTGACATTTTGGCAAATAGATTTTACATCTTCAATGAGTTTTTGGAGGATAGCAAATACCACTGAAAAGTTGTGTTGTAAGACAGAAGAGACATAAATTGCTCTTGTGATGCAGTTCTCCATTGTCATCCCGGTAGTAGATAACAGCAGGGTGTAGAGTGACCATTTCCTCATTCCAATAGGCGGACTGTACCTCGTCCATAATCTGACAACTGTAAGTTTCAGCGAAGTCCATCTGGACCAAAACATGTTGCTGATGAAGGTTATCTTTCATGTTTCGGAACTCCTTAAACTGGTTCTTCACCCGTTTAACATGTTCTGTAACTTCTAGGAAGTGTTGTTTCATTTGGGATAGAAATTCCGCTTTTGGGATGTGTACATCAATTATTTTCATTCTCTGCTTTCCGTCCTCAGTTGTTACTTTCCTCCATTCCTTAATGGTCACTGTAGTGATATCATCATCAAGTCCAGTGAGCATATCAGTGATGTCAGCTTCACTATAAGTTTCAACAAACTTGTCTGGACTTGTAATTGTGGTCAGATGTAGAGCTTTTAGGGATTTTAACTTTAGGGCAAAGTTCTGATGTCTGATGCAGAGACATGTTACACGTGCAGCAAAGTTGACTAGTGCTACATGCTTTGGTCTCATCTTGCAAAATGATGCAAAAGACAACTTAACATGAGTGTACTCCGACTGGAACTTGAGATGGAGGTTTCTGAGATAGTCACTGCAGACATACTTCTGAACTTTCTGACCCTTCATCTCACCCTTAACAGCGTCTTCTTTTCCTGGCATTAGTCTAGAGTTGTCCTCCCTCTCCAGAAATGAAGTGACCTGGCGTTGTAACTGAAGCCTTGCTATTCTCATCCTTCGGGATTGACCAATATTCAGGAGTTTAGAATGTGATGTCATAAGACGTCTTCGATCCATACTGGTGCTCTTTGACAAAGTCATTGTGATGTGGTATTTTCTGATAATTTTACCTGACGCAACTTGGGCCACAAGTCCCTTCAAACGAGAAGAATTTGTTTTGTTTGCAGCAGCAATTTCTTCTGTGAGACATTTTCCCAAGATTAGTTTTTTCCTGATCTTAGGACTCTTCATAGGACTTATACCAGCTTGTCGCATTTCAGTGTCAACCATTTTACCAGGACTCGGCTCAATGTTAGTTGGAGTTTTTATCTTCTTTTGCAGTCGCTCATAGCGCTTTTCAACAGTTTTAACCCGCCGCTTTAAATTCAAATTTTGCTGTGACAAGTTGTTAATGTTTCTTCGGGCTTTAGGCACTGCTCTGCTGATTCGTTTTCTTGTTCTTGCTGGTCCTGTCTTCACCCTCCTAAAAGGGGGTAGCTTTACAATCACTGGTTCGTGTGTTGTACTGGACACACCATTGTCATCAGACATTGCCGTCACTATAGGCCCCTGTAAAACAACTTCTGCCGTTGCTTCAATCTGGTTCATAGTAGCAAGAATGGATTTTACTTTTTCTCTATATTTTTTTACATTTCTTTTGTTTCTCTCCCTACGTTTTTCTGTTTCAGCTCTAGACAGAGTACTGGTTTGCTTATAATACTTCTTATCACACTCTGTTTCGTTCCTGTTCCATTTGTTTCCCAGTTCTGACTTTTTCCGTTCTCTGTAGTCTCTTTGTCTCTCTGCTTGAGATTTAGCCATAATATCTGCAATAGTTTACCACAATTCAAGCAACAATGTATAAATTCCATCATTTAAAGGTCAAATGCAACGTAAAACACAACTTTGCAGATTCTGATACCTTTCGGTATGGACTTACCGAAACAAATCGTCAAAAATGCAAATTCAACTTATAAAGTTAAAAAATAACGCGATGAAAAAAAACGCGCGAAATCGGAGTTCAAACGTTTCACTAATTTTCCCCAGACTTTTCTGGGGAAAACGGGTTTCAACAGCTGGGCTGCGCTCATAGCATGTGCGCAGTGAAAAAGGTTCGCGCAGCTTGGAAGCGGGTTGTCGGGTGAATACTCGGTGAAGGCTTTGGTGTGAGCTATTTTTCTAATGTTTTGTTGATATCTCACAGGCGCGAGCTTTTTATATGTTATGACAGTAAATTAACTGTTTATATAATTTCATTTGTCTATTTCACCACACGTTCTTCTTACCGAGTCACTTTCTCAGTTCGATACTTAAAAGCAATGTCATTATTTAGCGTTGTACAGAATTTCTAACTGTGATATAGATATGTCGTTGTCACAGACAAAACTCAATGTCTTGTTTTATTGACACCTGTGTGTCTGCCTGCCTGTCTGACAATATTCAATACACAGCTGCCATCACTGACCACATGCAATTTGAACTTAACACCAATAAGGCTATACACCAGAAACAAAATGCATTGATTTATGACCCGAGTTCGGTCTCTGTCACATTATGTAATTACACAGACAGGCAGGTGTGATACTTGAACACATGACATGTTATGATGTCTGTTGATTGCAAAATGTTATACACAAAAAATGAGCATGTATTTACAAAACACAACATCTCTCTATATACACACACAATGAGCCGTGAAGGCATCTGCAAATGAACCAGCCGTTACACTTAAGTGCACACCCACCCGCTCTGACTGGGTTCGGTATCCCGGCTGCTTCGTTTCTTGGGAAGTAAACCGAAGTACACAATTTTGCACTTTTGATTTGCGATTGTACGCTTATAATTTTGTTTATATGTTTTTTCATTACCAGCAATGTATATTATATGTCATGAATAAGTGATAATTGTGTTTTAATTATGTTTGATTTTTTGGTTGCATGTGACCTTAACATAATGTCACTTTCCAAACTCTGTGGAATCTCTCAGAAATCCCAAATAAAGTAATGTAATTTACGTTGTAATTTACGTTGTAATATACGTTATCAGTAAATATAAGTCTTTATAAATGCATTATTATGAATCGCATGCAATGGCATCACTACTTTGAACAGTTTCCCAATAGCCATTTGTTTAAGAATAAAACATGCATGTTTTTTAAGTATTATCATTATACCAGGTGTGCAGTTTTACAAGTATTATATTATACTAATGTAGAGGCTGACAAGTAATTTAGAGGCACTGACAAGTAATGTTCGTCACAATTCCTGTAATTTACGTTGAAGGGCCATGCATGGAAGGCAGAGAATGGTTTTCATGAAACATGTCTGAATTATGAAAGTATTTAACTTGATTAATCAATACATTATCATAATGTTACAAAAACGTAACTCAGAAACATTATACATCATGTGGCAAAACAGTACAGTCATCCTTACCATTGGAAAACACTTATTCCACTTCAGGAAACTTCCGTTCGTCAATGTTCTCATTCGAATGACGTGCAGAAATGACCCCTGCTTCCAACACGTGATTGCACAGGGTATTTGGGGTGCACATTTTCACTTACACGGAATTTCTGAACATGTACTAAACGTAAATTACAAAACGTAAATTACATCCTTATATTACATGTCCAGGATGAGGGCTACATTGCTCCGTTTTGGTGATTTAATGTTTGGAAACATACACGGTTATGCTATCCATTTAAATGGATTAGGGCCAGCATCGATTCCTATGAGACTTATTTTACTGTGACCGTCACGTAGGATTACATTCTTAAAAAATCGTTCTAATAACTAAAGATAAAATGGGTTAGTTCGTTCTGTAGATTCTCCTTGTTGATCAGTTGACATTCGTTTGAAAACAATGTTGTTCTCTGCATAGCATACCACTCATTTTACTTATTTAACTTGTTTGTAAATAGTAAATGTTATGTACATCAGTTACCATAACGTAAATTACGTTACTTCTACCGACAAAATTGAAACAAAAATTGTCTTTCTGTTTCTTTCTCATCCATGGTTTTTATTATCTTGAATATAAAAACTCACTTTGAAATTTTATTATGCTGGTTTACAAGGTTGACTTGTCTTTGGAATATTATCTAGAAGAGAATCATTGACGGCAATATCTATCACCGACAGCACAAAAAGCATAACCAACAGTAAAGGAACAGTCAGTTTCAAATATTTTCTCAAATGTTTGTGACTATTGGAGTTTACCATAAACTTCTATGACATTTGACTATTGAATACTGTCGATTTCACATGAAAATCAGTTTCACTTTATGGATAGCAGGGACTGTAACCAGTCCGACAGCATTTGTACAACTTAACTGAGAATGGCTGAAAATCATGATATATTAACTTTTAGTGGTCAGCGCATATCCTCTGAAGAGTTGCGTCCCCCTTAACCGGTGACGGTTCAACTTGACAGCTTATCGAATATAATGCACCAGAAAACATATTTATATTATAATTGCTACTGTATAGTTCTATTTCAACAATGTTTACAACACATTTTATTTCGGTTATAACAATTCAGGCTGTGAAATAAAACGGAAGCATCATATATATGTTTTAGGTGATAAAGAAAACATAGGAAGCTGTACGGATTATCGGAGCGATCTAATACCAGTGACACCGCCCTGTCACAACATGTGGTGAGAAAACGAAAACAGTTTTATGGTGAGAAAACGAAGACAGTTTTGAAGTTTTTGAAGTGCTGAATCTGGTGAACAACTAAAAATGACGAGTGGTCAAGATGGTGGTGGTATTCCGAGTGAAATGAAAGAAAAGCTGGCTTCATTTGATACAGCCCTGACCAGCTTGGAGACCGAGTTGAAGCCGCTGTTGGCGAAACCAAGAATGGAGTTCTTTGAAAAGGTGGCACTGAAATCTTTTATTTAGTAGTGCGTAATCACGATGGCGATGGTAATAGAAGACGAACCATAGCATTCCAACAGTCACACTAAAAAGATGTTAATACAGATAGGGGAAGAATTCCGATCCCCCGCTTGACATGAATGCTATTTATTATGAGTGAGTGAGTGAGTATGGCTTTACGCCGTTTTTAGCAATATTCCAGCAATATCACGGCGGGGGACACCAGAAATGGGCTTCACACATTGTGCCCATGTGGGGATTCGAACCCGGGCCTTCGGCGTGACGAGCCAACGCTTTAACCACTAGGCTACCCCACCGCCCCTATTTATTATGATGTTTTCTAGAGGTTAGTATTTAAGCTTTGGGTTTAGTTTTAGCATTATGTCAGGGTTAGGGTTTGAGTAGGCTTCGATAAAAACCATCTATTCTTTGGTACATGGAATTATTTTGACAAACAGGGTTACGGGCGGAAATCTTTCCCAATCATCTCATTTTTGTGTGGACAAGGTAACCCTCACACTTACCCAGATTTATTTCAGTTATTCACTTTCATATTGCATTCAAATGTAATATATAATTAGTAAAAAAAATTGATTAATTTTGTACATGCATGACATGCAGGGAGGGATCATTCACATTGTACATCATTACATGCTTCTCCATAATCATCATCATCACACCACCTAACCATAAATTAATAATGTCCATAACAGGGGTGGAAATAACTTTAAAATTGCTGGTGTACTCCGGTACAGTGGCACATGTAAAATCACTTGCCCCGATAAGTTTTCCACTATACCGGCCGTTTTCTTGTTGATTTTTTAAATAAACAACATTATTAACATTGGAAAGTCAACTGGACACCAGTACAGCGTGATATACAAATTTGCTTGCCCGACAGAAAAAACACTGGACTCGGAAGTCGGGCAATGGGTTATTTCCACCCCTGCCATAAGTGGCTGGACCGATTGGAAGTATGACCTCAAGTAGCTATATGAAATGTGATTTGTTAAGTGTTTGTATTAGTGAATATGGCTGTGCAAGTGGATGAGAGTAATGTCTTTCACTCCGCTTGATATGACTGTACACATGGTACAATAATATACATGAACAAAAAAGATTAGTATAAGCATGGTGAGTAAGATTATAGAAGATTACAGATAATTATTGTTTGTACAATCGATTTGGACCCATGAAGATTCAGGTTAGAATTGGTCTTCAGCAACCCATGTTTGTCATAAGAGCCGACCAATGGGAGAGGGTAGTAGGGTTGCTGGCTTGGTTGACCATTGTTGACACACGTCATCATTTCCCAGTTGCGTAAATCGATGCTCATGCTGTTGATGACTGGATTGTCTGGATGGCCATTCTCTCCTTCCTCTCCAGACTGCCTCCGTGGTGTAGTGGTTACAACTTTGAGTGTCTGCCCGGAGAGTGGAAGGTTGTGGGTTTGATCCCCAGCCGTGTCATATCAAAAGACTTGGAAATATGGTACTTGTTGTTCCCTGCCTGGTGCTCGGCATTAATGGGTAAAACAAGGCCTGGTCAGCTCTGAGTCAGTATAGTATGTCTGAGTGGGGTTTTCATGCATAACTGCAGCATGGTATCTCAGTGAACTAGCACTATAAAACCAGCTGAAGTCTGGGCTAGTACAAGCAGCCACACATACACACGCTGCACGTCGTTATAGGAGCGAAATATTCTTAAGTAAGGTGCTACACCCGTTTCCACCTCACCTCCTTCCTCTCCATCTCTTTCTGAACCACCACCACCAGCACTACTACTACTACTACTACTACTACTACTACAACTACTACTGTTTTATGTCAGTATCTTTGATTTTCAGCTGGAGCCTCTGGACATGGGCAAGATGGACCTGGTGGCCTCCTATGCTGTCAACTCATTGTTCTGGAGTAAGTTCACCCAACGGTTTCCACTATCTTTGTCATCATGGTACCTTCCCAATACAATAAGTCAGGTATTGATGTTGGCATGTTCAGCCACTTCAGTTCTCATTAGTCTTTGAATTGAGGTAAACATGATACTGATAGATTGAGGTTTGAAGTAACAAGACCTTGACATTCACAATTCTAATGTTCAGCATTAAAGGCACTATGTCCCACCACACTTCTCTAAAAATACGTAATGCATTTCTCTCAATAATACTAACTATCAGCCCTCATAAGCATGATAGGCATGATAAGAGGATTGTTGTGGTCCTTTGAAAAACAAATTGTAGCCAAAATCCTAAACTGGATTATGTTTCAAGTTCTGCTTAATTCATTTTGTACAAGTAACAATGTTGGAGTAAACTGCAGTTATATTGCTTTGTGGGTATTGAATGTACGAAGAATAACTTTCTCATTTATTGTTTTTAGCGGTATGTAAAAGACAAAAACAATTAACTCCCTTTTATCTTTAAAGGTCACATAAACCCTAGGGGGTAAAAATACATAAATCACTAACTGGCATCGTTATAAATGAAACCCCGTCATTAAAACTACTCATTTCGACCTTTAATTGACTTAAATCGACCTTTTTGACAACAGTGCACAATTCTCACCCGCGAACGAAATTTCAACCAATCAGAGCGACGCGACTCTGTGACGTCATATGAGGAATAGCTTTGAGGGCCGATGCAGAATTCATCTACATTTTAGGGGGTAAATTATCTTGTTTACAGGCTTGTATAAACCTGAAATCGTGACAATTGTTGTGGAAAATGAAAGCTATATGTTCTCACAATCTACTGTCATTTAATTTTGTCTCCTGCTTTGCCTAGTTTCCGAAGTTACAACTTGTTTTCATAGACGCTTCTGTCACAATTGATTGGTGTCGTTAGGCCCTATTTGTATAATGACTGATCCAAATTGATCCCATTTCTGTGTTTTTTACCTCGATATTTAATCATGTCATGTAAAAATCTGTTTGTATTCTCAAAACAGTGTCGCTCCATAAGTTTTCACATGCAATACAGCAATTAATACTCTCTTTGTTGTAACCCGTGTTTGGTGGTATAAACCTACACATGTTATTTGTCATCATTCACTTGATGGTCAGTTAATGAATTTATAACAGGTATAATTAGTGGTAACACACTTAGATTACCCGACAAAGGTTCCCATTTGGCATATCTTGTGTCTGAGTAAATATTCAACATTATAAACATCGATCAAAGGATTAACCGATAACACGCTGATTGATTAATTACTTTTATCTTACACAGCGGAATTGTTGAAAGGTAGTGTTTATGTATGTAGATTTACTAATCTATACTGAATTCACTCTGCCGTGTCGGTGTTCTGCGTAAAAACAACGCCCTTCTTTCAAAGGATTAACCGGCAATACATTGATTGATTGCCCATTATTGGCTAACTAAATTACCGCTTTTAATGAAAGGCGGACATTATGCAATTAGTTGCCAGGTGTGCTATCTTGGGTGACCAATGAGACTATACACCAATACCTGAAAAGATTTATCACTTTTTCAGATATTAAACTGTTAAAAGACACATCATTTGGAACAGTTTTGTGGATATTGATGGATACATTCCTCAAACAAGGTAATGGCCTGATATTGTTCCTATAACTTTAATCTGTTTTAATTTTAATATTTGCATTTTGTTTTTATTCATTTGTCGTAGCATTCAACAGAATCATTGTTTTCGCCGTGAAGTGTAATGAGACAGACAACATACACTAGGGTGTGTGTGCTAATTATGATTCACATTGGCAAACTATAAAAATGTCTAGATATTACAGTTCTGTTATAAATTCACTATAAGTATCAGCAGATCGTCAGCTTTTATTTAGTTTCAAAATGCATGAAAGTATGATAATAAACTAATTAGGATTATAAGACCAAATATAAAGACGCATTACTGACTAGTATCTACATACTGGTGAGTGGACATTAACCACGTGAATGTAGCAAGAAATTTATCGCTAGTATTGTGACTTCGACCCCACCTCGCTTCGTGGAAGAAATCGCTATGTTATAAGTTGTGTCATGCAAAATCCTTTTGGTTATGATTCCAATACATATTTAATTACAAGAAGAAAGTAGTTTTGATTTTCTAACTTGATGAAAACAAACTATAATCTCATTAATTCTAACAGACTTTACGATTTTCAAAATGGCGGCGCTCTGTCGGGGGAACATCCGCCAGTCTGTGGATAAATGCTATGTAGGTTTGTTTTCACAGAGTTACAAAATCAAAACTACTTTCTACTGGTAGTAAAATATGTATTTGATTGATGGCCAATAGGATTTTGCATGACATAGCTTATAACATAACAATTTCTCCTGGCAGCGGGTGGGTGTCAATATAATACTACTTACAATATTATTGTTACTTCGACCACAACCTCACTTCGAGGAAGAAATCGTTATGTTACAAGTTGTGTTATGGAAAATCTTTATGGTCATCAATCATATACATATTTTACTATAACTAGTAAGTAGTTTTGATTCTTTAACTTCCGTGAAGCCGATCTGAACACAAGTAAGATATCGCTTCAGGCTTCCACAACGCCGCCCGCGACTCACAAACATAACCCATTTAGCACTAACTGCGGGTCCTGTGGAAATCTGTGCGCAGTGACACCATCACCCACCCTAGGAGAAATTGACGACAAAGCAACGATTCGGCATGTCGCCGTTCATGTCGAGAAATCATCAAAATGATGAGCTGCTATACACACTTTCTATACAACTAACTGAAAATCGTTCCTCATATGACGTCACTGCAGTGCTCTGGCGACAGAGTTACGTAACCTGTCTGTGGTTTCGTTAGCGGGCGAGAGGGAAGCAGGCGACTTTTTGGCCACTTTTAATCGCTCGGTATTAATTAACCACAAGTTTTTAAAGAATAAATTTGGTGTTCCGCATAAGACTAACCACAAATATTTCATATGTAATGGTTAAAAGAGTAACAAAAAACAAAGTTTAGTGGTTCTTTAACGGAAGTACCTGTACATGTGTTTTCCATGATCAGTTTGAATGTAACCGCCTATGTGGGAACGTTTATTAAATTTTTAACCCCAACTTGGATGCCTCTGTCGTTCATGAATGAGAAGCAAGATGTCAACAAACAAATTGATGATTTTATCTTTCTTTGCAATGATGAAAATAGAAATTTTCATTGAAATATTATTAAATGACTGTTAGATCTGTCCTGCAGCAGAACTGTGGTACTCCGTAGCCCCAGTAGTTATGTGGTAGGGATGTAGATCAATCAAGTCAATACAGTCAATATTGATGAGCCATCTGACTTAGATTTTGACAAGGGACCAACAAGCCAGTCACTACAACTAGATTCCATATTAATTGTATGTGACACAAAACCAAATATTTTCCCATTGACATCTATAGTTGTTTTTTTAAAAAATTAACTAAGGCCCCCAAACAGTGTGTGAAATAGTTTCCAAAGTTTGCTAGCCAGTCGGGCTAGCTATGCCTGAAAGTTACTCACCCTCAAAATAATTCAGAGCCCGAAATTTGAATGTAGAAACTAAGCAAAAGATTACAAAAATAGGTGAGAGTAAGATATTGTCAGCATGGCATGGGTTTCATCATTGAGTTGCTAATATGATAAACATTTTTATCAGGCCATAACCATTTAAAAGTGCATTATAACTTATTAAGTCGGAGAGAGTTATATCTTTAGAAAATGACCCCATGAAAATTCACTAGCCAGTCGGGCAAGTGACTGGGGGCGTTTACTGGCCCGACTGGGTTTTTGCAAGCCACGGGCTACCGGGCCAGTGGCTATTTCACACACTGCACTCAAGAGCTATTACATGTACATGTGTGCATATTCTGGTCTTAAAGCAACAATAAAACCAAATTTATGACTACCTCAACCAGTTTCTTTTCTGAGTAGAGAAGCCAAACAGACCAACGCCAGTCCTGCACAAAATGTCACCGCTTGAAAATACATGTGGTCACATTCAGCATGGGTCACCATGTTAAAAATGGAAGCACGAAATATTGAAAAATATAGTCAGTTTTAATTACTAGATGGATGTACATTTAAATGACACAAAAATCTTTCACAAATTCATCCAATCATAGCTGTGAGATGAATCAAGTCTGCACTGAAGGCTCCATATGTGCTTGTTACACTACAGATTCTGATTTGGTGTAGTAGAACCTGTAACAGGCAACCAGCACTGTTGATTATCTGTTTTGTCCTATTGATTCAATCCTGTGTTCCTGTTGTTGCAGACCGCCTCCGTGGTGTAGTGGTTAGAGCGTCCGCCCGGAGAGCGGAAGGTCGCGGGTTTGATCCCCGACCGCGTCATACCAAAAGACGTTAAAATATGGTACTTGTTGGTCCCTGCCTGGCACTCGGCATAATGGGAACAACAAGGACTGGTCGGCTCGGAGTCAGTATAATGTGTCTGAGTGGGGTATTCATGCTTCACTGCGGCATGGTATCTCAGTGAGCTAGCACTTTAAAACCAGCTTCAGTCTGGGCTAGTACAAGCAGCCGCACATACACATACACACGCATGCACATCGTCATATGAGCGAAATATTCTCAAGCAAGACGTTAAACCTAATTTCACCTCACCTCCTGTTGTTGCAGTGTATCTGAATGTGTGTGGAATCAACCCCAAAGACCATGCCATCAAACAGGAGCTGGTAAGACGGAATCTGTTGGTATTTTAAGAGTAGCCTCCCTTTATGGTCTTGTCCAACTGGTAGATAATTTTATTCAAAAACTTGTCATCTAAAAAAATGTCATCCCAAACCTGCCAACCAAATGTAAATCCAAATATATGAAGTAATGGTTATCATGTTTCTGATGCTCTTTACTGTGAAGAAGGGTTTCCAGTTTCCTGTGTGTTCTCTAGGAGCGAGTGCGTGGATACATGAACCGTGTAAAGGAGATTCAAGACAAAGCAAAAGCCCCGAAAGTTAACTCCGGAGCTGCTAAACGTATGGTGAAGAGTGCTCTGTGGCAGGCGGCACAGAAGAAGGTCAAGCCACAGGGTAGAGGTGAGACAAGTCAAAGGGTTAGGCTTATGGAAGTGAGATTAGTTACTGGGTAACCTACCCGTGAAGGTCCGGGTTAGAATGAACCTTCAGTAACCCATGCTTGTCGTAAGAGGCGACTAATGGGATCGGGTGGTCAGGCTCGCTGACTTGGTTGACACGTCATCGGTTCAAAATTGCGCAGATCGGTGCTCATGCTGTTGACCACTTGATTGTCTTGTCCAGACTCGATTATTTACAGACCACCGCCATATAGCTGGAATATTGCCAAATGCAGCATAAAACTAAACTCACTCACTCACAGGGTAGCCAAGAGACCAGGAGTGAAACGTTGCATCAGTGCTCAATTGTGTCGCGAAGTTTCTTGCCACGATACAGTACCCAGTAGATTTTTTGCTGCGTTTATACACTTGCTAAAATAATGTGCCCCTCCTCCTATTATCTTTGCAAGTCAAATATTGCGAAATATATTTGGGGTGAGACAAGCCACATTTTTGCCTGTTAATTGGCTGAATTGAAAGCAGTCACAGACTACAGGTTTAGCCGGCCACATATTTAAGCAACAATGGTGACACCTGCAAGTTACAGTATCCTTACTTTCAAAGGATTTCAAGGGGTAATTTCGTTTTAGGACCCACAGATTCTACAAAAATAATCATGGGATATAGTCAGACCTTGTTTATCCAAACACTTTGATTTTTTTATTGAATTGTTCGGACAAACGAATCATTCGGATATCTTGCCGACAACAGCCTTGGTTTTCGGATATACAAGGCAAATTTGTCATATTTTGCTGTTTCGATACCAAAATTGACCGTTCATATACGGAAACCGAACATTCGGATATACGAAGTAAATTGTAACTGGAAAATTTCGTTTTTTGTGAAGAATGTTTGGAAACCGAGGTCTTTGGATATCTGAAGTTCGGATATACGAGGACTGACTGTACCCAAACAATTTGTGTTTAAAGGATATAGTCCAAGAAAAGCTCCAGGTCACACCATTTATTTGTGGAACACGTCCTTATTAACTTAACTATGGTTTATCTGATATGTATCCTTACTCTACGTATTACTAGTGAGTAGGATTTAAATAGGTAATCTCTTCTATTCAGACGAGGCAGGACCATCCCAGTCACATTCCAGCATTGCCCCTGGAGGGAACAGGAAGAGGAAGTTTGATGATGTTGAGGAGTCTGGGAAGGGCAGGAGGACCAGGTGACAGGATGCTAGACAGGTGGATGTTGAAAAGTTGTGCAGATGCTGATGTACTAGCAGGAGACCTACAACAGTCAGTACCAGGATGAGGGTACATTGGTTGTCCTGGACCAGTTGCGCCATCTCATTCTTGAACCGATGTTTATCTGTTGGTGACAAACTGACTTACATGGCCCTGGCAAGTTCGAGAAATGATGTGTTGTTAAAGTCCCCTGTCCAGGCTGACTGCAAGACTGTGATCTTGATGAGTGTTGTGCTGGAGGATGCAAAGCTGTGTATCTCAGTTACTTGAGTTGATGCATGAACTGTTGTTCAGTTAAGACACCTGGAAGGTCAAGTTGCTTATCTGGTGTCAACTGGAACTAAAGTGAGTCCTGTTCACATGAAACACACAGGACACTTACATTGCTGGAGAGATCCAAGAAAAAGACATTTAATTTTAACTATAGTACGTATGGAGGTCAGCTTGCACATATTGCCGAAAAATAATTTTGTATAAGTACCGTAATATAGGTGAAAGTTTGTTAAAAGCAGTGTAAAAACACCTCTCAATAACATTGCCTTATTTAACTTGAGAACTGTTCACTATTGGAGTCCCAGAGAAATAATAAACATTGAATATAACATTGCTGATTGAAAGAATTCTTTGCTTGTGTTTGTTGTATGCAGTAACTATAATGTTTTACATGGTACTTTGGTAGCAAATTATATTTCCTACACATGCACAAGATTAGTTGATCCGTACATTTTCTAAAATGAGTATAAAGTTACTGTTGACAGATTGCTGTGATGTGTTCATTTTTAAGTGTGATGTAGATTTCTGGTACAAAACATGTAGGAGAGACACAATGTAGCTGTGTAAAATATTTATTGCACAGGATGATATGAACAGATATATCACAGTGGTTGTGGCAACAACTAAGTGCATAATAACAAAAACATGTATAGAATTCAGATGTGTGAACACTGAAAGTGTGCAGTCCTCAGGAAACAAAACATTTTGTACATTGGACGGTTTCATGGCCCATGAAGACATGAAAATTTTATTGACAAGAAGTTCAAATTTCCAGAGCTGTTTCCTTGCCCCTTCTTCAGGGAACAAAACCATTTTTGGGTGACCAAAGCTCATGTAAATGGAAGAAGCCCAGAAATGTCTCTCAAAACATATTAACCAATGAAGAAACTAGAGCGAGTTCGGTTTTACACCGCTTTTAGCAATATTCTAGCACTATTCTTGAACACCAGAAATGGCCTCCACACACTGTACCATTTGGAGAATTCAACCTGGCTTAAAGCACACACTTTAACCATTGGGCTACTTCTTGGCCTCAAGACTGACTGACTGAGTTTGGTTTTACGCCGCTTTTAGCAATATTCCAGCAACATCACGGCGGGGGACACCAGAAATGGGCTTCACACATTGTACCCATGTGGGGATTCGAACCCGGTCTTCGGCGTGACGAGCCAACGCTTTAACCACTAGGCTACCCCACCGCCCCCTCTTGGCCTCAAGAGGCAAAGAGTAGCCCATAAAGGTTATCCGTAAAACTTCCACGTCTTCATGTTATCCAAGCTTCTAAATGCCAAGCAAAGATCATATGATCCTACATCACGTTGTAGACGGTCAGAGATGCTCTGCAACAAACGCGACCAGTTGTTCACAGGCCTATTTCTCCAAGATTGCCCAACATCAGTGAGAAAATACATGGAATGTTAAAGAAATAAAACAATCATAATGACAACAAATCCCATCTGAAGTAACTCATCAAACATAAACAACAAACAAATAAACATTGGACGGTTTCACATCACATTTTCATACAGGCTTAATATGAGAGGCATACACAACCAGTTCCATCTGTGGAACAAGCTTAACATTAGAGGCAGCGAAGATCACTGGTCCTGTTGCTCCACGTGTCTTAGCTCTGGACAACGATACCAGTAGTTGATTAGGTGGACACAAGTAACATCACATAGTAATATTTGCAGCCCAAATTCAAGTTCAGGACTGTGATACACAGATCCAGTTCAGGATTCTATTACACAGACTTAGTTCAGGGCTGAATCTCCTAGATCCAGCTCAGGATTGTATTACACAGACCTAGTTCAGGATCGAATCCTCTAGATCCGGTTCAGGATTGTATCACACAGACCTGATCAGGACTAAATGCCCCTTGATCTAGTTCAGTATTGCATTACACAGGCCTAGTTCAGGACTGAATATCCTAGATATGGTTCAGGATTGTATTACACAGACATAGTTCAGGATCGAATCCTCTAGATCCGGTTCAGGATTGTATTACACAGACCTAGTTCAGAACTAAATGCCCCTTGATCTAGTTCAGTGTTGCATTACACAGGCCTAGTTCAGGACTGAATATTCTAGATCCGGTTCAGGATTGTATTACACAGACCTAGTTCAGGACTAAATCCCCCTTGATCTAGTTCAGTATTGCATTACACAGACCTAGTTCAGGACTGAATCCTTTAGATCTAGTTCAAGATTGTATTACACAGACCTAGTTCAGGATCGAATCCTCTAGATCCAGTTCAGGATAGAGTCCCATAAAGCAATAACATGCATAGTATTAAGGTCTATGTTTGAAAATAGGAGCTACAATTGTGAAGTTTGATGAAGCTGACAGGGTGTGGATGGTGAGTTTCGTAGTCCTGTTTCTCCTTGGTAGCAATTAGTGTGCATGCTTCTATGGAAATTACAGCAGTGATTGCATCATGTGTATATTTTGTACTTCACAGGAAAGGTGTGTTTGGATATCCTTTCAGTTCCATTTGACACACTCTTATAAATTTGAATGGAATTTCACTATCTGGTACAAATTAGGGATGTCAATTTCGAAGCTTCATGAAACTTCAGACTACAAAAAATGACCACTTGAAGGTGTAATCTTGGTAATACTGGAATTCTAGATTCACCAGGTGTGAATGTTAAACACTCAATGAGGATGAACATCTGTGATAATGAAGGCAGAAGGCAACAAAATTGTACTACTGAAGCAAGGGAGCTAACTCCAGGCATCTTAGTGTCAGTAGTTGCACTCATTGATGTTTACCTTTTATGTACATAACAGTCAAGAACACCTACAGAATCAAATGGTTTCCCAGGAAATAAATGCCCATTAGTGTCTACTGTGCGTTATGAGAGGTGACATCTTTGGTATAATATTCAAAGCCTTAGCCTGTGGGCTTCTAGGTTAGAATTGACCTGAGCAACCTCATCCTCTAGAATCTCCAGGGTATACATTCCGATAAATTTCCACTCTACCCTGGATGCATCTACGGCTCGGCCCAATAATGTTATTACCTCCCTTGGCTGGCTTTTTATCCAATCAGGTGTCTACGCTGGAAACTTGAGTGTACCAATCACAGAGCTTCTATCACAACTCACTTTTGCTTCTTTCATCTAACCGATTAAACTTGGCAACACAAATGTTGCAGAGGTACTCTGAAAGAGGTAGAATGACTTCTTGCATATATTTTTTTAATGTTTCAGACTTTCCAATTTGTCGGTATGATTTTTCCCGTAAATCTGAGTCACACAGCGAGCAAACATTCGTAGGTGCGGCTGCCATCTTAGTTGACACTGGCAAGCTTGGTTGTAAGGGCTGATTGGCAGAGGGCAGAGCTAGCAAAGGGAGGTAATAAAATGTAGATGCATCCAGGGTATAGTGGAGATTTATCGGAACGTTTACCCTGGAGATTATCGAGGATGGAGCAACATAAGCCAATCATAAGATGAAGTGGGACTGATTGGTCAGGTTCAAGGATTTGTTTGTGTCACAGAACCCTGATGGAATGGTTCTCATAATATCAATCACTGGATTGATGGTCCAGTTATTTATAGGCCATCGTTCTTCAGCTGGAATGTTGCTCAGTACAGCACAACACAACAAACAAAATATCCATACCTGAAGCATGTGCTGTAACATAAGCTCCATTAGGATTGGAGATGACAGTCTAAGTACTACTAGTATTTACCCTATATTCACCAAGTGCATGATAATATCAAACTGTGACTGCATCCACCATCTCATCTCACTACCATGTTTCCTTACATTCAGACATACACATGCATCAACACAAGGCTTTCATCATACACAGAACATATTATGCTACATATATAAATCATTACTAGCTATATCACTAACTCCATTCATGGGCATACATACAGGTACCCAGCAAAACATTCAGTAAACAACTTGATTGAAGTAGAAGTGAAGAAACGGACATGTTCCCCCCGTAAGCTTGACATGTTAACCCTGCATCTGAGGATGCTGAATACTGATACAACACTGGACATCAAGCCTCATCCACTTCACTGATGCAGGGGATCAGCTGTCACATATTATCTGGACGGTTTTATGTAAAAGAGATTATACCTTTAAAAAGACAAAAACTATTGTGACTATGAAACATCATCTTCCCAAAACAACTGACGATAAAAGACCATTTTTCCATGCCAAACTAGGGTGGAATCTTGTGGCTTGATGGTAGCTCCACCAGTTGTCAATTCTATGACCTACCCAATCAGACTCCATCTCTCATATCACTTGCATGTGATTAAAACAAAATGGTTGCAGTCAAGAAACTCACAATGATAATCATGATCTATATTGTAATAAAACGGGTCTCACTTGAGCCACTTTAAAGAAAAAAGAAAGATTTGGAAAATACCAGTTGATGCTCATTTGACAGGACACCAGATCCAAATTTTGTTACATGTCCTTTAGGGTACGATGATTTAGACTCGTTAGGTGTGACAAAATAGAACTAAACAATTCCAGGAAGGTTGGCAAGGCTGAAAACTGGACTTTTATAGTCATTCAAGTCCTTGGGAAGTCCCTTGGGAAGATAATGCCAAATGGACAGGAGTTTTAGATGTGGTACAGCAGAGTGCCAGGACGGATAATTCTCTTGCAGGGTATCGTCGGAATATTGTTGTCTTGGTCTGTTCCTATTTCGGTGCGGGCTGTGACCCATTGGTCTGTTCCATATGGTGCGAGACAACACAGTTACAACATATGGTTGGCGGTTGTTTTCAGTGGAGAACAGTAGTTGCAGCGCCATCTAATGGTGACGATCTGTGAAAACATAAACAGAAGGATATAATATAATAATCAACATCTAACTGCTCTTTCACAAAACAGATTTATCAAACAAATATTTCTTTCCACGCCTTTACCTTCATGTCAAAGTACGTAACTGTGGTTTTGGAAGAGACAGAGGACTGATATATTTGAACCACATGGCATTCCAAGAACTTTCTCCTCATAGATTTAGGCATCCTTGATAATCTCAAGGGTATATGTTCTGACAAATCTTCACTACTACCCTGGATGCATCTACGGCTCGGCCCAATCATGTTATTACATCCCTTTGCTGGCTCTGCCTTCTCACAGTAGCCAATCAGATAAGCCCTTACAACCAAGCTTGCCAGTGTCAACAAAGATGGCGGCTGCAGCCACAAAGGGTTGCCCGCTGTGTGACTCAGATTTAGGGCAAAAATCATACAGACAAATTGACAGGTCTGAAACTCATTCTACCTCGTTCAGAATACCTCTGCAACAATTGTGTTGCTAAGTTAGATAAAAGAAGCAAAAAAGAGTTATGATAGAAGCCTTGTGATTGGTATGCTCAACTTCCCAGCGTAGACACCTGATTGGATAAAAAGCCAGCAAAGGGAGGTAGTGAAATTATCGGGCCGAAGTGTAGATGCATCCAGGGTACTAGTGGAGATTTATCGGAACGTATACCCTGGAGATTATCGAGGATGAGATTTAAGCAGAGACATATTTCTAAATTGAAACATTTTGATAGACAAAGGCCAAACTCATCCTCTGACGCTTCAGAGCTTCAAGGACAGACACAATCTGTGAAAGAGATCATATAGATATGAAGAAAGCATCAAATTATCCACTGATAAAGTATTTGTAGTTAAAATGTCTTCATCTTGGCAGTACTTTATTCAAAGGAGAGCATGCATCAGATTCCAAAATAAACCCAACATTTCAATTCAGGTTGGAACTAGATGCTGTACAAAGGATACTTGAGAACAGTCTTTTCAACTTGTCACAGTAACAGTGTTGCTGCTTGTCTGGATGAAAGCTGGATGTCAGCCCACTTGCACGAAGCGATCTTAGAGCTAAGACCATCTTAAGTCTGTGTTAGAGTATAGGTGAGGTGAGGTGAGATGAAATTGGGTTTAACGTCGTGCTTGAGAATATTTCGCTCATGTGACGACGTGCATGTGTGACTTTATGTCTAGCCCACTGAGATACCATGCCGCAGTGAAGCATGAATACCCCACTCAGACACAGTATACTGACTCCAAGCCGACCAGTCCTTGTTGTACCCATTAATGTCGAGCGCCAGGCAGGGACCAACAAGTACCATATTTTAACGTCTTTTGGTATGACGCAGTCAGGGATCGAATCCGCGACCTTCCCTCTCCGGTCGGATGCACTAACCACTACACTACAGAGGCGGTTGTTAGAGTATAGGAGTTACGATCATCGTAGTGCTAAGATTGCTTGTGCAAGTGGGCCCAGAGTGATACTTGTACCTTTCTAAAATCAACAAATAACAAGACAAACATTGGCAAGGTATATCCTTTGGATAAACAAAAACATAAAGGTGAAACCGTTTTATGTCATACTGATGATAATGTTTATTATGCAAATATTCTGAGTCAGATATTCATTAACACATATCCGAATGAAAGCATCACACATAAAGTCAAGCGCCTGTTTCCCAAAGCAATCGCACCACTATCACATTCGTGAGTATAGGAGTTATGATAGTTATAGCGATATGATCATTTCTGAATTAGACCCAGGGGTGTACTGAACACTCAGGCCTGTGACAGTAACAGCAGATAACCGAGACAGTGGTGACAGGAGGGGTGCAAGAAGGAAGAAGACAGAGACAGAAGACACATACGATTCAAACGGGTTTGATAGAGATGAGGTAAAGTGTGTGAAAGACGTGGATGGCATATAATCATTAAGTATCATACAACAGAGTAGTGCAGGGGTGGAAATAACTTTAAAATTGATAGAGTACTCCGGTACAGTGGCACATGTAAAGTCACTTGCCCTGATATTTTTTCCACTATACCAACCGTTTCCTTGCTGATTTTTTACATAAACTGCATAATTAACATTTGAAAAAGTCAACTGGACACCGGTACAGTGTGATATACAAATTTGCTTGCCGACAGAAAAAAACACTGGACTCGGACGTCGGGCAATGGGTTATTTCCACCCCTGTAGTGAAATGACATAATTCAGTCATCATGGTCATACAGAAAATATAATGCACAAAGATAGAAAATCCTGCATCTCCCATGTAACAAACTGTGCCATGCTGTGGACGGATCTCACTTGTTACATTGATGAGATTATCAACAAACACTTTCTGCCCCTCATTAAAAACCATGTTGACAGTACTGATCTTGTAGTTTTCACAAGGAATCGGTTGAGGTATTATGTCCCTTTGGCTGTCTTTCATACAGTGCTGAACACAAAGGTTAATGCAGCCTGTGAAGATTCTGCCTATTCAACTAGCACCGTCACTGCTTTTGTTTTTAATTTCAATCAGTTACATGGTGGGATTTTCTTCAGATCAATCATATGCCCAACAGATGACTTCACAACTTGTTCTTACATGAGACATGATAAAAATTGTTATAACTCCTTCAACTATGAGCGAGTATGGTTTTACGCCACTTTTAGCAATATTCCAGCAATATTCCAGCAATATCATGGCAATTTTTTACCAGTCCTGCCAAAATCTAGCCTGTCCTCCAAATATAAATAAAACACCATTTCAAGACTTAAAACTGGTTTGTTTTATTTTAAGCTATAATTTAATATGCACACACAGAGCTTGGACTGTTAAATCTCTCCTAGTGGAATCATCTGATTATTCTAGTATCCTTTAGCAGTAAATATTCAAAAAGGTTATAATAAAATAATGATTATGTCATTGGTTTGCTAAAACTGACCCGACATGAGGACGACCAGATTTTTTTACCTCCACAAAATTCTTTCCTCGGACACTGCATTGTACACATGTAGGGAAGCGAACCCAGGTCTTCGGCGAACACCTCCTTGAAACGGAAGGGACATATTACAAAATCAAGAGGTATTAAAACATGTTTTTAAATGTTAACTAAGACTTACATTTCATCAAAAAATAAAATCGTCTTATCTAAAGATATATATCGACATAACAAAATGTAAATTCAAATGAAGGCCTGAACTATGATTTGTTGTATTTTTAGTGCTGAGACAAAAAGGAAATGTAAATTCGTCCTACACTTGAGCTGGCTGACTTTTTCTCATATATTTTTAGTGTCTGGGTGACAGCCTAATTTACAATATATCTTCTGCATGTTAGAAACTAACACACTAAACAATGGCTCACCAGCCTAAAACAACCATTCAAATACCAGATAGTTGCCACATTTGAAGTCAAATTAGACGACAGTAATGTGTTGGAGAAACCATGCCTTGATCAACCAATACTAGTACGAAAGACCTCAATGTGGTTTCAGGTGATTTTTGTAACATTAAAGCTTACAAAAAGTGGATAGCAAACAATTTGCTCTAGCACTACCTTCAGCAAGTTCAGCCTAACTAAATTAATCTAAGCTATCTTCCCAAAATGTTTTTCCATTATTCTAATGACTCTTGACCCTGTGATGCCTTAGTAATTTGATTATTATGAATGTGATGAAAATCACATAGAATATACATAGGTTTTCTTCATGTAGATCTACAGGTAGCTGACATCCGTGACAAAAGTATTAGCTGTCAATGAACATTTCAGGGTTCAAAAATCATATAAGTCAGGTCAGTCATTCAGCAAAACTTAAAAACAATATTTTTTAGAAGTTGGTTAAAATGGATGCATGTGCAGATGGTCAACCAATGTGAAACAACCCAAACAATGTGTTGTGAACCAACATCGTGAAGTTACAAACAGGTTACATTATAAACAGAATCATATCAAAATATTGTTACACAATCATATCACACAAATAAGGACATAATTCCAAATTATTACAAAATAAAAACATCCAAATCACTTGGCAATTATCACAGAAAAGCAAACAAAAAACAGGATAAGCATGACATACTCAAGCATTTCGTTTCAGAAATACACATATATTATCTATAAATACATATCTACAAAATGAAAAAAAGACACAATTCAAGTGGAGATCAGTACAACGCCAAATCACGACTTTCTCCTATTTGTGTTGTATTCTCTTGGGTCTCAGAGACAGAGTTTGTTATACTAGATTAACTCATAATTAGTACAACAGGCAGGCTATTTGTAACCATAGCAATGGTTTACCATACATGATTCCACTGCAGAAGGAACTTCTTGGACATCAGCAACAACATGACTCTGCCCCAAGAGTGAATATTTGAATCCACTATTTTTAATGATACCTTGCATACAATTATAGTGAGTGAGTGAGTATGGTTTTACGCCTTTTTAGCAATATTCCAGCAATATCACGGCGGGGGACACCAGAAATGGGCTTCACACATTGTACCCATGTGGGGAATCGAACCCGGGTCTTCAGCGTGACGAGCTGAACGCTTTAACCACTAGGCTATCCCACCACCCCGCATACAATTTTAATGTCCTAGGTGTCTATTGATTGGATTTCATCAGAATCTTCCCAGAACTGATGCAATCAAACACATAACATTTTGGTTAATTTTATGTAAATGGTGAAGTGTTTGTCCTATATTGTGATGTGACTTAAGTGCATGATGTCAGTCAACAGTGCCCACAACCTAGGTCCACTCACAACGTGGTTCACTCCAGTCTCACCTTCAACTCCTGCATCAGCTCAGGGTTACATCTATACATGCTCAGCTATCCTGGATCAAGGAGACAGGGCTTTATACATATATTCCATACATTCTGAGATATCCTGACCCAAGTAAGCGAGTATGGTCCTACACCGCTTGTTGCCAAATACAGCAATAGGGGACACTATAATGGGCTTCACACATTATACCCATGAGGGGAATTGAACCTGGGCCTTTGCCATGACAAGTGAACGCTTCCACCTCTAGGCTACACCACCACCCTTCCTGAACCAAGTGAGTGAGTGAGTTTGGTTTAATGCCGCTTTTAGCAACATTCCAGCAATATCACGTTTGGGGACACCAGAAATGGGCTTCACACATTGTACCCATGTGGGGAATTGAACCTGGGCCTTTGCCATGACAAGTGAACGCTTCCACCTCTAGGCTACACCACCACCCTTCCTGAACCAAGTGAGTGAGTGAGTTTGGTTTAATGCCGCTTTTAGCAACATTCCAGCAATATCACGTTTGGGGACACCAGAAATGGGCTTCACACATTGTACCCATGTGGGGAATTGAACCCAGGTCTTCAGTGTGACGAACGGGCACTTTAACCATTAGGCTACCTCACCGCCCCTCCTGAATCAAGAGATGCCATGCTAGATATGGGTGGGGTTTTATGCTCCTCTATATCATGGGATATCAGCTGGATGCAAGCTAGAGCCCCATAAGCTGCGGGTTAGATGCCAAATGGTTTCCATTTCTTTGTAACCCAAAGCATGGGTATGAGGCTGGTAAACCAAGAACAAAATCATGGCAAATTGGGATTTGTACAATCATTCAGAGGTTTCTGGTACTCTAAGAGCTGTTTGTTGACACTTGGTGGGACATAAACAACTAGGGCACCTGTGCCCTTGAGACGGGATGAAAGTACAAATATGAGCAATTACTTGACAAACATGACAGAATAACTCATTTTCATATTACATTCATAAGAGAACACTCCAGGAAATCAATATTCTGCAATTCATCATTATAATATGATATGACGGTGAAATTGCTGATCTGAGGCCCATTGCACAAAGCTATCTTAGTACTAAGGTGACCTATCCCCATACTTTAACATAGGCTCACCTTCACCACATCACTAAGATCATTTCATGGAACAGGAGTCTGGTCTGCCTTGAGAACTCAACTTTCACACAACATATGAAATGTACATTACAGAGCACTATACTTGAACTAAACTAAGTAAAAATTATATTGGGTGTGGTACAAGAAGGGTACAAGAAGGGGATATGAAACAGTGTCAAACAAAAATTCAGGTGAGTCAGTGCTGCGTGGTAGGGATGTGAGTGGGTGTAGTACAACATGCCGATGTGGGCTTGTGCAGTATATGCTGGGGGATGTGAGTTGTAGTACCGGTACATGAGTTAGGGTATTTGAAATGACAATGTGATTCTGTGTACAAGTTGTGGATGTGAGTCTGTGTACTACTATGTGGGTGTGCATCCCTTTTTTCAAGCAGAAGAAAAGCACATACAAAATACAAATCTCCAAGTAATTTGGTGTTTACAAATTATTTTAAGAATTGATTGCACTCATCTGCCAACTTTCCTGCATGTTGTATGTCTAGTGTATACATTAAGTCAAAAAAGCTGCATCTGTGCTGGTTTACACAAACCGGTAATGTACACACCAACCAGACCTGTGCAGAGCAGTGGAACCTTTTCGACCTTTTCTTTGACAATCAAACCTCAATTATTAGTGGTGAGTGAGTGAGTTTGGTCTTACGCTGCTTTTAGCTATATTCCAGCAATATTACGGTGGTGGCACCAGAAATGGGCTTCACACATTGAACCCATGTGGGGAATTGAACAATAGGCTACCCCACTGCCCCTCAATTATTAGTGACACCAAACTTATATTAGCTTCAGCTCTAAGATTTCCTTATTTTTTGGATTTGAAACGAAAAGCAATTGTTTATATCACTGAAAAAGGTTCAACTGCACTGGACACAAGTAAATATTGCAAGTTACTGGGGGTAACACTGTTGCTATATGACGAATGTCCGACAACACTGGTAGCAACAGACCCTGGACTGAACCATCTGTAGCGAAAATACAACAGTAGAGAGCATAACAGTGCAGAGCCATGCAGGAGGGTCTCTGGAGTCACACCTTTGGTCAAGTGTGCATCTCTGGGTGAAGCAGGGTGAAAACTCATGCAGTGTACAGCCACCAGTGTCCAAAGTACAGCATGCACACAACATCAAAACTTCTTACCAATCACTTCAGATTTGAGTCTGTCAGCTATGGCTTTTCTCATAGCAAGTCTTTTCTCCATCTCAGGGTCTCGTTTCTCAGGTTCAGCTGTCTTGCCCGACATTGCAGCACGAGCTGCCCTTGCTGACTGTGGCCGCTGCGGCTGAGCAGACTCAACTCGTCTCAGCTGCTTCTCTCTCTCTTCCTTCTTCATCTTCACGAGTTTGTCCCTCTGCTCCTTCAGGAATTTCAAACGTTGTTGACGCTCATCCAGTGACATTGCTTCCATCGATTTCTGCAGTGAGAAAGGCATTTTGATCCATCAATCCTGTGCACACTGTGACCAAAATAACACAAGCAGAAATGGGCTTCACAAATATTTTGGCATGACGAGCAAACCCTTGAAGCACTAGGTTACCCCACTGCCTCTAATTGGATATGAAGCAAAACAGTTCATTTTCCTTGTTTCTGAAATTCTTAAAGGTTATGAGATTTTCTATACAAATAGCTCTTCTTTTTTTTTATGTGGATAAACCTTAGAACCAATATTCATTTTCCTTCAACCTCTGTCCAAACTGAAAAGTCTTGCAAACATCTTGTTTGGTCCATATCCCATCTACATCTTCCACCCACCTGCATTGCCTGGTACCTCTCAGACTGCTGGACACTGGAGCTGGACTCATTCTGGGCAGACTTCATCCAGTTGGCTGCAGCATCAGCATTGCTCACCCCACTTGCCTTTGGCATATCCACATGCTTGTTCTGCACAGGTGATGTAAGTGGAGCAAAGCCAGTGGCAGACGTGGGGGATTTGGGGGACGCAGCAGTGGCTTGTGGTGGACGGGAGGCAGCGGGCATGGCAGCTATTTTGGGCTGAAAGGTTCAGTAATCATATCAAGCATGATAGAGTGTAAATACAATATGACTGTACCTGGAAATATGACAGAGTTTTAAAAGTGCACTTGATCAAAAGTGGTACACTATACAGAGTCAGATTCAGAATATGTGGTATGTGGGTGCACAAAATATCTTAGTCAGAAGCTGACTTTACCAATTACCCAGTTCACATGTCTGAAAAAGAGAGCAGGACAACCTCCCATCTGGATCCACTAATGCATTGTCACAAGTATGAATGTATTACAAAAAGCTGAACAACATGAGGATTTCATTTAGTAAATCTTGCTGTGCTCTAGTGGTGTTCCGATTAATTGAAATAATCGAAGATTGGTCGCAGTGACCAAACGACCAAGCAATCGATCACAATTTCTCATAATCGAACATAAACGATTTTGGAACTACTGTTTTAGTCTTTGAAAATTTTGACAATGGAACATATCTTAGAAGTTGTCAGGGCCTGAAAACGTGTTTAATTCTTAGAAAACTCACTTCACTTACTGAAAAGCGATGACTGAATGTTTCTCTAAGACTCAAGGAAGTTTATGATCATGATATATTAGTCATCACTTTAAAGTACCAAGTTGCATCATGTTATACATATCTGCAATAACAACCTGAATAGGAAAATCTGAAAAATGACGCTAACCAATTTTTTTCGAGGATTGTTCGTTGGTAATGAAGCAATCATCAATTGTGAGATTTCAACCCATTCCCAACACTACTGTGCTCAGCTCTGTTCCCAGGCCAGGATCAGCTGGTCATTCAATTGATTCCAGTTACATGATGTAATCATAAATGTAACCTCACACAATTTTGCAAAATAGGAAAACTTAGAAAATGAAACAGCAATAACAATATTGCAATCTAGATGAATGAGTACAACCAGATCTGTCAAATTCTCAAGAGGCCTCTCACAGGTAGTAGTCGACAGCTGTTGATAAACAAGTAGACAATAGGTTTGGCTGTACTACAAACACACACAGAATGTTGTACCTAGCCACGAGTCAGGAATCTGAGTAAAATTTTGTGTGGTAAGCTCAGCTGAAGAAATTATCCATGCAATATCACTAAATTCCAACTCTACTCAAATGATGGATATGAATGATGTAAGAGGTATATTTGGGCTGAGTATATAAAAAATACTTAGCACAGACTGAGATGTAGTTGAAACAGTCCTATTAACTATTTTTTTGCTCAATAATATGCTTTGCTACAGTACATGAGGACTTACTGCAGATCTGAGGTCAGTGGCTGGCTTGCTGGGACTGGTTGGCTGGACTGTTGCATCATGGGAGCCAGCAGAAACAGGGGGGACAACTGCAACATTTCCAAACCCACCACTGGATCCACTCTTGAGGGCCTGTAACACAGAAATGTCATCACATCTGAATAAAATGGAAGATACTAGAACTGTCAATGGCATGAACCTGAAATAATCAGTAGCTATTACCTTCCTGTCGGTACCCACTCAGTATTAATGAGGGGCTGACTAAGCACTTTTATCTAGATGGTGCATTCTAAACATGTTTTAGGAAATAACTCAAATAGTCAAATTACTTTTTCATAATACACCACCACCCAAGAACTCGCCATGTCAATAACGCACCATCACCACTTCACGTGTCACCAAGTCATTAATACTCCATCCCCTAAAGACACACCATGTCAATAGTACACCATTCCCCAAAGACTCAACAGTACACAATCTCCACCAAGACTCACCATGTCAATAGTACACAATCCCCCTGATTCACCACGCCAGTAGTACACAATCAATAGTACACAACCCCCTAGACGCACAATCCCTATGTCAAAAGTACACCATCTCCTTAGACAAACCACGTCAAAAGTACACCATCTCCTTAGACTCACTAAGTCAATAGTACACAATTCCCCCTCACTCACCATGTCAAAAGTACACAATCCCCGCCCAGACTCACCATGTCAATCTTCTTCTCCTCCACCTGCCTGCTGTCACTGAGCCGCTTGGCCTCACACATTGAAATTTCAAGCACAGCCTTCATCTCCTTCTCCTCCTGGCTGCTCATACGTTTCTGATTCTCAAACTCCTGCCGTGATTTCCTGACATTCACAGAACAAATTCATTGACATCAAGTAAGAAAGAAGTTGACATGAGAATAACTTTCTAGCTTTAAGAAGAACAAGTGTTTGCCACTGATATGGCAAGGTCCCCCGCCGCTAAAGAATGGAGTATCTATAACATATTTACTACTTTTTATTTTTTGGTCACATAATGCCTGAAATGACTGCATAATCACCTAATGTATGCTGTCGACATAATTGAAAACATTGGGTGCAATGCTTTATGAGATATCAGGTTTAAATAAGTTTGAAAAGTGGTCAAAGTGTTGTAGTGACCTTGAAGATAAGGTCAAGGTCACTCAAATCAACTGGTGTCTGGGTAATTCCCCAATGTAGGCTGTCACCAAATTTGAAGATATTGGATACAACAGTGCATGAGATATCACGTTAACAAGAGTTTGAAAATGGTCAAAGTGTCGTGGTGACCTTGAAAATAAGGTCTCACTCAAATCAACTGGTGTCTGGGTAATCCCCCAATGTAGGCTGTCGCCACATTTGAAGACATTGGGTACAACAGTTCATGAGATATCGCGTTAACAAGAGTTTGTAAAGTGGTCAATCATTGCACACGGGTAAGGCAGCAATACACTTCACTGTGACACCACACGTCTCAATAGTGAAGCCCTCAAACAACATATACCTTGACAGGGAGGTCCTGACACAACATATATCTTGACAGGGAGGTCCTGACACGATATATTCCTTGACAGGGAGGTCCTGACACAACATATATCTTGACAGGGAGGTCCTGACACAACATATACCTTGACAGGGAGGTCCTGACACAATATATACCTTGACAGGGAGGTCCTGACACAACATATATCTTGACAGGGAGGTCCTGACACAACATATATCTTGACAGGGAGGTCCTGACACAACATATATCTTGACAGGGAGGTCTGGACACAATGTATACCTTGACAGGGAGGTCCTGACACAACATATATCTTGACAGGGAGGTCCTGACAAAACATATATCTTGACAGGGAGGTCCTGACATGATATATACCTTGACAGGGAGGTCCTGACACAATATAAACCTTGACAGGGAGGTCCTGACACAACATATATCTTGACAGGGAGGTCCTGGCACAACATATATCTTGACAGGGAGGTCCTGACACACCATATACCTTGACAGGGAGGTCCTGACACAACATATATCTTGACAGGGAGGTCTGGACACAATATATATCGTAACAGTGAGGTCCAGACACAACATATATCTTGACAGGGAGGTCTGGACACAATATATATCGTAACAGTGAGGTCCAGACACAACATATATCTTGACAGGGAGGTCCCAGTGTTCACGAATAGCATCTGACCCTCTGACAAATCCGACAGATTCGCCAACGGTCAGACAGAAGTCTACAACCCGCCGGCCCCAGTGTCTGACTGTATATTTCACTGTATATTTGACTGTATATTTCACTTTGACTGAAGTTGTTTTATGTGACATGTGACACTTGTTTGCTGTTTATAAATCTTATGTTTGTTAATAATTTCAATGTCAGTTATAAGAAATATTAAATCTGAAATGTGTGTTTAATTTTATTCCATGGGTCCTGAGCATTTTCAATGGGTCAGACAGACGTCTGAAACTTACAGGACCCAATGTCCTGTGATTTTGAAACTCCATTCGTGAACACTAAGGTCCTGACACAACATATACCTTGACAGGGGGGTCCTGACACAACATATATCTTGACAGGGAGGTCTGGACACAATATATACCTTGACAGGGAGGTCCTGACACAACATATATCTTGACAGTGAGGTCCAGACACAATATATATTTTGATGGTGAGATCATGATACAATACATTTCTCTAATGTGAGGATGTGATGCAACACATATCTCAATCAACAGGTCGGGATATAAAACATATCACTACAGTGAAGGCAAGACAAAATCCATGTCTCAATAGTATGGTCATGAGACAATCCATACCACGAAAGTGACATCATGACACAATAAATATCTCCAACATGAGGTTGTGAACACTATAGACATGTGGGGGATGTCTGTAAACTGGAGTCTTGGTTACAGCTGGCTGCGTTTCCAACACAATCAACAAAACCTTCTCACACTGTTCTCATCCAGATAAACCCATACAATTTACTTACTCCATTGCTGCTGCTAGCACTGCATCTTCCTCCTTTTGCCTGGTGTTCATCCTCCGTGGTTCCTCCTTGCTGACATGAGTCAGACTGCCGGGGAGGGCTCCGAGATTCTTCATGATCATCTTTAGGGCTTCCTCTTGGAGGACAATGTTTTTATGAGCCATCACTCGCACAAACAGTCCAAAGTCGACCGAAGACATCACCTGCTCCAGCACAGTCTGTAACAGGAACATTCACCAGAATCAACACAATGCAAACAGAGAAATAATGCACATATTTGCTCTTTCAGTGTTAATGTAAGCCCAAAGTTACAAAGTATTTTAGCATGTTGAGGTTGTCAGTAATTACTGCTTTGGAAAAACCCAGGCAGAATGGTCGAAATTTTATGGGAGTACTTTATATGAGCTATGGAATATCTCTTCCATTTCAAATGGTTATATTATTGAAGGGAGAGGTAGATGACAGGTTTCATGGAAAAATGTAATCTTTCATCAAGAATGCCCCATGTTGACAAATATCAAGTAGTTAAATTCACTTTCCCGATATCGGAAGCAAAGCTCTAACTAGACTGATGGAAGGTCATCTGTGTTACCCTTAAGGATGTCCTCAGTTCTCTGTGCAGATCTCATTTTAATGAGTATTTATTTGTAGGTTACCGGTACTTCTGGGCCCCATAACACAAAGCAATTTTAGCTTTACAACTGTGGTAATTCTCTGCTAAGTATGGGAGTTATGATCACCTTAATGCTAAGATCACTTTGTGGAAGGTTGCCCTGACTGACTGACCTGGAACACAGTCCTGATGTCCTCCTTGTCATTCATCTCTTGCACTGCACCCATGATGGCCTTGTAATCCAGACCTGTGTCCTGCTCGAAGGACAGCAGCATCCGGTCCACCTAGTGATGTAATCTAATCATTTGAAGATCACATCTAACATTTAGAAAGAGGTCCAATGTAATATATCTTATATCTGGGACTACACTTTCTCAGTTAAATACAGATTTTAGTACTTTTGTTAGTTTGAGTCCTGTTCATTGCACTCAAAGGTGTGCTGGTGATTAGGCATAATAGCAGTAGTTTATTTGATATTAAGTCACACTTGTTGGATTGTTCAGCTAAAATTCTCAATTAAAGCATGGCATATCCATGAGAAAAAGTCATTAAAGATAAGTGAAATCAGGCATGATGATAGCCAGTATCCGAAAACAATACCAGCAGACATTGTTAACATGACAATCTCCTAAAATATGACAATCTCATCCTAAACATGGCAATTTAACCCTTAACAAGACAATGTGAGCTACAGATGATCAGCAATTACCAAACGCTTGTAGTCTTCATGGGTCTTGCGATATTCTGAAGAGTCTTCTATTTCTGGATCAAAAACTGCAAAACAGGGAAACACATAAACAGAGAAATGTTGTTGCAGGGTTTGATAGTTGGTTGGTTTGTTGTTTAATGCCGCTAATCCAGTGATCAATCGAGCATCAATCTACACAATTGGGATACGATGACATGTGTCAACCAAAACAGCGAGCCTGACCACCTAATTCTGTTAATCGCCTCCTACGACAAGCATGGGTTACTGGAGACCAATTCTAACCCAGATATTCATGAGTCTGCAGGATTTGAAAAATATCTGGAATAATAAAAGGGTCCTTACCACCATAACGTCAAAGCTTGAAGATTCCATGATGGGGCATTGCTGGAATATTGTTAAGAGTGGCATAGAACCCAACTCACTCACTCATATGAGTGAATGAGTGAGTTTGGTTTTATGCCATTTTTAGCAACATTCCAGCAATATCACGGAGGGGGGTATCAGAAATGGGCTTCACACATTGTACCCATCTGGGGAATTGAACACAGACCTTCAGCATGACAAGCGAATGCTTTATCCACTAGGCTATCCCACCGCCCCCACTCATTCATATGATTCCGAACACTGTTCTTGTGAATTAAAATGGCTACATAACAATGTCTACAATCTCAGTGGACCGACAGATTCATTTTTTCAGTAGATTCTTAAAAATAGCAGCTATTACATCTAAGAGCTAAAATATTTTCCTCTTATTTTGCACTCTGCTGGACATATTTAAAAGAAAAAAATGTTTTTCATGATCGTAAACTTGATGTTAGTAATAATTTGTAAATATACATCAAGGCACCATTCTCTTCCCACAGAGGTTACTCCTGTCATATCTTCCTACATAACCTCTGTTCTAATACAACCCTTTCTTGGTGTCAGCGTTCAAGGCTCGTGATTGGAGACAAGCCGATTTAGTTGTGCAATCAGCGACGTTGTTTCAAAAGTGATCATTCGCAAGGCCTCGGTAATTTCCGAATGCTTCGTGGAAAAGAACCTGAAAAACGCTTCTTCTAGAACTCAGTCATGTAATGGCGTATCAATGGCGCTCACTCGCTGACAACGGACAAGCTTCTTCCATTAAACGCCTTGTGTGTAACATCAACACAATTCCCGGCAGATGGGGATATTTGTCACTTGTGTTAGTCAAATTGAATCTAAGTCGATGTAACAATTGTAGAAAGAAGGGAGATAATTAGGTTACACTCTTTGCCGCTAGGGGATTTTACGAGGACCGGAAATATGGCCGTATTAGAACAGAGGTTATGTAGAAAGATATGACAGGAGTAACCTCTGTGGGAAGAGAATGTCAAGGCACAAGATCTTATCAGTAAAATAAAGGGAAATAAAAACATTTTTAAAAAAGAAGAAAAAAGTGAAATAGATGCTTTCTCACTAAGGACTTCTCCTATCATAACTTTCACACACCATAAACAATGTTAATGTCACAGGTTTGCAAAATTGAAAGACATCAACCATTCAGTCGACAGATGTGGCAGCAAATACGGTCTATCTCATTTTTCAAGAAAAATACTCCACTTTCTCAGACATGTTATAAATTGCTAAGTGCATGACCCAATCACTTCCACAGTTAGTCTAAACACGACTAAAAACATGGGAAAGACTACAGAATACTGGATACCTTCCGCCATCTTTGAAAACTTCAGAACTGTGCAAAAAAAATGCTCAACTTGACTCGTGTTTTGAGTACTTCGCTATCTTAGTATACTTACTTTTTTAGCCTTTGGATATCCATTACTATCTTCTTTGGGGTTAGTTTAACAAACATGGTTAGGGTTAGGTCAGGATAAAGTAACTTTCCCACGCTCATTCGCTCCAACTCCCAGAATTCCGTAGCTTCATTTTTTGAAAGGTGTATATATTTTTCTATTTGTGATAACTAACCTTTCATTTTCAAAATTGTTGGTTAGTTTTACTAACCTGAAGTCATCCCAAATAATCCAATTTTTATGGTTATTTGTTTTATTTTGATTTATGCTTCTTCCCAGTGTTATTTTGTTCAATTTTATGGCTGACAGAAGTCGCCCCAGTGTCTGACTGTAAATTTGACCTTTGACTGAAGTTTTTATATGTGACATGTGACATACATGTGACACTGTTTGCTGAATAAATGCATGTGACAATGCCAATTATAAGAAATGTTAAATCAAATAATGGTCCTGGTATGTATCCTTACAGGACCCAATATTCACCATTCGTAGGCTGTATTATGCCTCTGTAGGTGTATTATGCCTCCGCATTATTTCCCATAACATTGATGATAGATGATTAATTTATGATGATGATTCAACTAGAAAACAGATGACTCCAAGAAAAATATTTGGAGTTTATTATTTCGAGTTTCTATTATTTCGAGTTTCATGTTTATTATTGTTGTATGATTTTATTTTTTCACATTTTGAATATCATTTCTACTCAATTTTAACAAACTGTTGAATTTAGCAATGTTACAGAAAGTAGCTCTACCTCTCATTTCAGTGTTCTTTGTAAAAAGTAGATCCTAATAATTATCACTGTAAGTAATTTGACTTAATTTGTTCTCACGAAAAATGGGAATACATGATATCTTACATATTGAATGTGTTGTTATTGCTAATGTGATGCACAAAGTGGCCAGGATACGGCGCACTCGGTAAAGGACGCTATACCTCTCACTTTTTATCAAAATTAACACGTGAGAAGGTCATTTCCGTGACAAATGGCATTACAAGATATGTCCGTCTGTGAAATGCGAAGATAGGACTTAGAATAAGAAGAAATCGAATAAGAAGAAAAAACCAATGAAAGGCTGATAGATCTGGAGATCGAAGTTTATTTTCAGCGTTGAAAACATTTAAGACTGTCAGCCACAGCAAACAATTATACTCTTGTCAGTGCAATTACTTACTCATGCACCTATCTTCCATAAAGGTTAAAACAGGAACTTGAAATATTGGGTTGCTTAGGAAACAAAGCAACTCATCCAAAACGTATTCTCTGCTTCTCGACGCCATTTTGAATCCATACGACGCGATGACAGATCTCGCGAGAGTCTGCGAGTTTTCACAACGAACTCCGAACTCCGAACTCCGATCTCCGAACTCCAAACATCTATGATATGAGTTCAAAGCACATCCTTTCTCAGTATTTAAGTCATGTCCCTAACAATGAAGAATATACTATCAATATGTCAGAATAAATGTACTGTTGTCGTATTCGTTTGCAATCATTAAATGTTTGGGGCATTACACGTTATAAAATATTTAAATATACAATGGAGTGAGTGAGTGAGTATGGTTTTACGCCGCTTTTGGGATATTCCAACAATATCACGGCGGAGGACACCAGAAATTGGCTTCACACATTGTTCAAATGTGTGGAATCGAATTAGGATATTCGGCGTGACGAGCGAACGCTTTAACCACCAGGCTACCCTACCGCCCCTACAATGCAGTATGTTAGCAAAAGTTTCGGAATATTTTAATGCCAGGTCCAGGTCATTTATATGTGCATGAATGAATTTTGTAACTTCAGAATCATCCTTTTCTCCTCTGACACTATACACAATAGTATTCCTATAATTATCGAAACTTTTGTTCGGATCTCTATTAACTCCAGATCGCCTAAAACAACAACAACAACAACAACAACACCACCCCCACCCCTCAAAAGGGCAAACGTTTTAGCAATCCAATTTATCAATTTTGGAAAATCTCTATTTTGCATCAAAAATGAAATTTGATTAATGTTATCTGATAAATAGCATTTTTCTTTTACGTAAAATAAGGAAATAATATACACCGCATGACAGGCCCGTCCGTGGGGTAATGTACACGGTTTCAAAAACAAAACTTAGAATCAGGATGTAATAAAAACTAAAACAAAACAAACCTCAACATATAATGCAGTATGTGCATGTGCCAAGTCAATTGTGGTACATAAGATGCCGGGACCGCCTCCGTGGTGTAGTGGTTAGAGCGTCCGCCCGGAGAGCGGAAGGTCGCGGGTTCGATCCCCGACCGCGTCATACCAAAAGACGTTAAAATATGGTACTTGTTGGTCCCTGCCTGGCGCTCGGCATTAATGGGTACAACAAGGACTGGTCGGCTCGGAGTCAGTATAATGTGTCTGAGTGGGGTATTCATGCTTCACTGCGGCATGGTATCTCAGTGGGCTAGCACTATAAAACCAGCTGAAGTCTGGGCTAGTACAAGCAGCCGCACATACACATACACACGCATTCACGTCGTCATATGAGCGAACTATTCTCAAGCACGACGTTAAACCCAATTTCACCTCACCTCACCTTCATAAGATGCCGTATGCTGGATGCCATATACCCTCTAAAATGTGTTTTACTGTCTGATTCAGTTGGTGCAGTGAGCGTGTTTATAGTGACGTTTATAAGATTTTGTTACCTGTGTATAATTTACATGACCAATAAAAATCATGTGTTTATTATATATTCAGGTAGACGCAAATAAAAGACATGATTAGATTTGTATATGCTGCAAATGAACAAACCTATTTGTTTTTGTTGATTTGTACATTTGCCATTTTTCATGCAGAGTATTTCTTACCATGTAAACACGTAATTTATTTAGCTCATGGATAAATTGCATCAGATTCAATTGTTCCATAGACCACTCGATCGCATCAATATGTTGTCAGTTAATTTCCCGATATTCAAATCTTGTCTGATTGAGTTTGGTTTTTACGCCGCTTTTAGCAATATTCCAGCAACATCACGGCATCAATAAATGGGCTTCACACATTGTGACCACGTTACCTTTTCCCGGCGTGATGAGCCAACGCTTTAACCATTAGGCTACCCCACCGCCCCTCAAATATTGTGTTAGTCCAATCACGCGAGTACAGCTTGCATAAGGAAACGCACTTCTACATCACCATCACTTCGCACTTCTACATCACAAATGCAGATTCTCCATTCTATAAACATCTTTGCAACGGAAGTTACACATTATTTGACACCGACAGCTACAGACCATGTAACGCTTAGCATATTTTATTCATCATGAAAATGACAGTCATGGGTAAAATTGTGTAAATTATAATCATAACAATGTGTGCAAATATGAGGTAAAAAGTCTTCTCCCGAAGCACCCGATACTAAAATAAATGCACGTTGAACACATCCTCCACAAAAAGACACTGTACGGAGTTTCGAGTCTTAGCCACTCATAGCCCAGGATCCTTGAAAGTCGCATCGAAGCGCCGATTCTCTCTGATTATGACCCATGGTTTGTAAGCACCATGTACCCCTGTGATTTCGTCAAAGCAGTGCTTTCAAATTGCATCCCAGTGAACTATCTTTTAATATTAAAGTGACTCGTCACGATACAATGTATTATCTTAGTAGCGCACAGGCGGTGTGGCATTTAAGCGCCGCAATTCGCCACATGGGAAACCTCTGATAGTGGGTTCGAATCTCAGTTCCCCCGATTATGTTACTGCGTCTCTCAGCACAATACCCATGCTCTGGGTTCCACCAAAGTGGTTAACGCCGTACACGTGCAATACTTTGTGTTCTCTCCCAGCACAAAGCCGACACACTCTGATACAAACAGAATACTGGTCAAAGCGGCGCTAAACCCATCTATCTCATGTACTCATTCAAAATACATTACATCCACCATATTGTGGTACATCGCGGTGGGCAGGCACGTTTATTGGTTAGGAATCTCTATAAAGAAGATTTAAACATTTTTAACATTCTTCCCACTTCACTAAACGTCGACAAAAGATCTGTTTTGAAGTGTCATGCTTCCGATTCTTATCTCGCTAGTCGCTACTGCGAAGTCAATGATTGTCGATATTAAAGTATTAGCAACAAAGGCTTCTCCCATTTAAAGCGTTGGTCGTAATTACAAGCACTTACCGAGCTAAGAGTATTCACTCAGGAAAGCAATACCCATCCCTGCTCGCAAGGCTAGGCTTCTGTGCTGACACCGTCAACAGAGCCGCTCGCCATCCCGCGTTGTAAGACTATAAAGTCACACTTCAGTAGTGCCTATAAAGAGCTCGCTACTAAAATCGAAATACTAGCCAGTTCTGAAGTGATTAAGTATTTTGTTTAGGAACCTACCCTTTGAAAGTCTGGCAGAATATTTTGGTGGTTGTCTGTTGATGTCGATGATGACACGTTTGGGTTTCAGATCAAAGCTTTGTCATTTTCCCACTGTCATAAACGTCATTGATAGTTAGTAAAATGTAATTAGTCTTTGGATAGATAGATAAATAGATAGATAGATGAATAAATAGATGGTATTACTAGCGGTAGTTATTATTAGCAGTTGTTGTAGCAGTAGCTGCAATAGTATAGGTAGTAGGGGCGATAGTAGTAAAGGTAGGAGTAGTAGTAGAAGTGGTAGTGGTAGTAATGGTATTTGTAGTAGTAGTGGTATTACTATTAGTAGTGGTAGTGGTAGTTAGTATTAGCAGTTGTAGTAGTAGTAGTAGCAATATTATAGGTAGTAGTCATAGTAGAAGTAGTAGTAGTGGTAATAGTAGTGGTATAGAATGACCAGAAATTATTGAGAATTTTAGGAATATGTTTAATTGGATTTCTAGATAAACAACCTTGACCAGCTATCAAGTGCTTGGTTTCATTCAAGAGACAACCCGATAATCCTTTTTTCATTAGTTTGTGAAGAGTTATCCCCCTTTGTTTATTTGCTAGCAGACGACATTTTCAGTGATCCTCAGTATGGATGATTTAGAGAAGAGGAAGTTTATTTTAGAGTATTATAACAAGGACATCAGATCAGCTAAATTGATTTCAAGTAGAACAGGCATCCCTTTGTCCACTGTTTATCGTGTTTTGAAAAATATTGCAAATAGATATGGCATTGAGCACCAGGGAGGCGCAGGTAGGCCCAGAAAATTGACTGTCGGTGATAGGAGGCGGCTTGGTATTCTTGTTTCTAAAAACAAACGAAGGAGTTTCGAGGAGGCTGGATATGATTGATAAAGGAACTGTGGCTGTCTGTAAGGAGACAATTAGAACTGAGCTGCATGCAATGGGATGGCAGAAAAGTCGAGGAATTCCATCACCGATCATGAAACCTGAACAAAAGGAGCGAAGGTTGAACTGGTGCTTACAGCATAGATGGTTTAACTGGGACAATGTGATTTTCTCAGATGAATGTTCTGTGTGGCTGTTTCCTAATACACTGAAATTCTGGACCAAACAAACTGAAAAACCTTTGTATCAGCGCCCAAAGTACAGTCCGAAATATAACGGGTGGGATGGCATATCTGTGTTAGGGGCAACGCCCCTCTGGGTATTTGAAGGGAATATGAACAGTGAGCGGTACCCAGATATTCTCGAGGGACATTTACTTCCATCTGCTCACGTGTTCTATGGAAATGTTTGGATTTTCCAGCAGGACAACGACCCAAAACATCGTTCAAAGCATTCACAGGCCTGGTTTCGGACCCAAAATATGACAGATTGGCCAAGCTATAGCCCTGACCTAAATCCAATAGAAAATGTTTGGGGACTTATGAAGGAAAGTGTCAATTAAAAAAATCTGAGAAATATTGCTGAAATGAACGAAGAGGTGGTCCAATATTGGGACAGCATGGACCACGACTTTCTAACGTCTTTGATCAGTAGTATGGCCCGCCGCATTGAAGCCTGCATTGCTGCCCATGGTGACTTGACAAAATACTAACTGTTCACCTATCTTTGAATCTGGAGTTATGTTCTGCTAATAGTCACATTAAGTACGTGAGTAATGAGTGAATTTTTTTTAAAATTTACAATCTAAAATTCTCAATAATTTTTGGTTGTACTGTAGTAGTAGAAGTAGTGGTGGCGAAGGTAAGAAGTAATAGTAAAGGTATTATAGAGGTAGTGGTAGATTTAGAGATAGTTGTATATAGATGTTGTGGTAAAGATTCTGATAGGGGTAGGAATAGAGGTAGCGGTATGAGTACCGGTCGTGGAGTAGTTAGTAGTAGAGGTACTAGTTCAGATACACAAGTGGAAGTAGTGGTACAG